CCTGCTATTGCTTTGTAGTCACACACAGCTCCACCCCTAACACCTGGCAACCCAGTGATCTGTTCTCCTCACTAGAGTTTAGTCTCTCCGAGAATGTCATATAAATGGAATCGTGCAGTATGACATCTTTTCAGGCTGGACTCTTACTCAGCATAATGTCTTTGGGATGCCTTTGAGTTGAGGCACATAGCAATTGTGCTCCTTTTTATTGCTGAGTAGCATTCAGTGCTATGCAGGTACCATGGTTTGTTTATCGATTCACCTGTTGAAGAACATTTGGGTTGTCTGCAGTTTTTAGTGATTAGAAAAAGGCTGCTATACACATTCACGTGTAGGTTTTTGTGACAATGTAAGTTTTTATTTCAGATTTAAAGTACTTTTCTCTGAAAATATTAGTGACCAATATTCATTATAAACATCACTTCCAAAAATATATAATTTTTCTTTTATCATCCAAAGCAGGGAGGGGGATTGCTGGGTCATATGGTAAGTGTATGGTTAACTAGGTAAAAAATTATTTTGTGGAGTGGCTATACAATTTTGCATTTCCATCAGCCATGTATGAGAGTTCCAGTTGCTCCATATCCTTGTCAGCACTTGGTATTGTCAGTATTTTTTTCTTTTAGCCATTCTAATAGGTGTGTAGTAGTATCCCAACATGGTTCTGATTTGCGTTTCCCTAATGGTTGATGATATTAAGCATCTTTTCATGGTCTTATTTGCCTGCCATTCATCCTCTTTGATGAAGTATCAGTTCAAGTGTTTTGCTCATTTCTTTCACTGGGTCGTTTGGTTTCTTACCAGTGAGTTTTGAAAATCCTTTAAAAATTCTTCTTTCAGGTCTTTTGTTGGATATGTAATTTGGAAATAGTTTCTCCCAGTCTGTGGCTTGTCTTTCATCCTCTTAATAGTATCATTTGCAGGGCAAAAATTTTAAATTTTGATTAAGTCCAGTTTATCGATTTTTTTTCTTTTTATGGACGGTGTTTTGGTGTCATGTCTAAGAACTTGTGGCCTAACCAGGTCGTGAAGATTTTCTCCTATATTTTCTTCTAAAATTTTTATACTTTTACATTGTAGGTAGAGATTTATGGCCCATTTTGAGTTAATTTTTGTATAAGGTGTAAATTTGGTTTGAGGTTCTTTTTTTTTGCATATGGATGTCCATTTGTTCCAACACAATTTGTCTGAAAGTCTATCCTTTCTCTATCAAATTGCCTTTTCACCTTGGTGAAAAATCAATGGGTCATATTGGTGTGCATCTACTTCTAGACTCTATTCTGTTCCTTTGGCTATGTGTCTGTCTTGCTATCGGTACCACACTGCTTTGATTACTGCAGCTTTACGGTAAGTCTTAAAATCAAGAAATGTGAGTCCTCCAACTTAATTCTTCTTTTTCAGAATTGTTTGGCTATTTTGACTCCTTGCATTTTCACATGTATTTTAGGGTCTGTTTCACTCGACTGCTAACCAAAAGGTCAGCAGTTCAGATCCACCAGCTGCTCCTTGAAAACCCTATGGGGCAGTTCTCGACAGCAATGGGTTTGGTGTTTTGCAGGGTGGGTTTGTCTGCACCTACACAAAATCCTACTGGGATTTTGACTGGAATTGCATTAAATCTATAGATCAGCTTGGGGAGAATTGACAT